GTCCGCCCTTTGCAGCCCTCAGAGAAGTGAGAGTGATGGTTGCCGGAGACACACATAAACAGGAAAGGAAGGGAGCCCATGGTATCAGCCTGGGTCAGTGCCACATGAATCAGTGGAATCCTATTTCCAGGCGCTGGAGGCCATGTCTTCTCAAAAAGCAGAGATGGAAACAGGACTGTAGGAATACTGTTGCCTCCAGGAAGCAGGAGAKGTTTAATTGAGATAATCTGTGAGGTCAAACTTCCCAACCACTTAGGTGGCCAAATAGCTCAAGAGAGAGAAAGAGAGTTGTGGCATTTTTATAGGTTTACAGAAATCCATCCAACCCCCATGCCCAGCATGTACCAATACTCAATAAACATGTGGCATGGATCAACGTGAGGCATGACTCATATTAACTCTAAGGCAGGGGTGACCATGCAGGGGTAGACTCAAGGAGTCTTTGTAAAGAGATAATCCATGTCCTGGCTCAGTGGAGCCTTGATGATTCCAAGTCCTTTAAAAATTTGATCTAGAACCACAGCACACAAAACTTGAGTGTAGTGCAGAAAACTGAGTGGGAGTTCACCTTGAACCAGACCAGCCGGGCAGGGGAAGAATGAACGTGGTTTTCGAGAGGAAGAAAAGATCTGAGTGAGAGATGAACAGCTCGTTTCTTATCAAAGCAAAAACACAGTTCAATAAGGACCCCACAAGGAGACCAGCGAGGATCTTCAGGAGGCCCTCTCATGATAGGTTGGAGTGTACAGCTCAGAGAGATCAGAGCCTGAGAGGAAGTATGGTCACCTCTGCATCTGAAATCTTACATAAAATGGCACTGGATTTGAATATACCTACCGACAGCCTGAGCATCAGGGAGGGTTTTCCTGAATTAGGGTTTGCAGGTGAAAACTATTCCTCAAACCAGGATGGGGGTGTGGCAACCTCATCCTGGAGACCCTTCCCCACATTAATTACTCTCTTTCCTGCCCCCCTTTGTGTGCTCCTTGTTTTTATGACTCATTCCTCTCTGTGTGTCCTCTCAGAGTTTGAATACAAAGATCAGTAGAGCCATTCAAACCCATCCCATTCTCTATGTCCCAAACACCTGGCCTAGAACTGCCCCAATTTTGGGGCACTGAAGCCCCATCCTGGTAAACGCAGGTCCTGAGGGCTCCCCAGCTGGACCATCTCCACCCAGCAGGTTATAGCACATGGATTCCTCTCTGTGGCCAATTATTTTCCATGGCCCTTGGCCATGTGACCTCAGTCCACGACCTTGTCAGTACTCATAAACTAACCAGGAGTGGAATGAATCACACTCAGGGAGGAAACCTCTGGGGGAAACTGCAAGGGGCTGGGGGAGGAAAGAGAGTAAGCTGGGGACCCAAGGCCATGGGCACCTTGCTGCCCCTCACCCATCCCTGAGCAGCTTTGACCTCTGGAAGGGAAAGAGGAGAAGGCAGTAGCCTTGGGAGGGCTACTCTTCTTAATAAGACTTAGTGTCTCASTCCAAGAAGCTTATTGTCCCCAGTACCCCAAATTTGGAGAAACCACTTGCTTTAGACACTCATCGAATGCTTTGAGGTTGTCACTCAATTCCCCATTCTTAGGAGCACTAATGTATCATCATAAGATAAATTAGATGCCATTTGACACACATGTGCATGTGCAACCACATCTACACCTAGACACAGTGGTCCTGTGGGAGGTGATGAAAATGTTGGAGGCCCTTGATCCCAYACGGATGGCAAGGATGCTTTAGGGTTGTTGTGTGAAAAGTCACGCTTTGTCAAACACACTGATTAAGTTGGAAAGGAAGTACCAATGAAATCTTCTTACTCTCCAAAATCCTGAAAGTGGGTATTATATAAACAAAGCCCCATGCTTCTCTGTATTTTTGGGGGGATTTTTTTTTATTTCTTACTTTAAATAATCTTGGAATTACAAAGTTTTGCATCTCTGTAGTTTTGGATCACCAGTTACCTAGAGTTCTCTGACAAGTTAATGTATTGTTAGAGAGGTAATTTCTRAAGGAAATATGCACAGTTAAATACATCCCTTAACGACATATATGTTTGAATGACTCTCTGGGCATTCATTTGATTCAGTCCTGGCAAGTGGGGTACATGCAAGTGTGTCCATGGATAGAGCATATATATTTTTGCATTCGCAAAACCTCAGYGAGCCACATGCTATTTTAAGAACCTGAACTCTATCTTTCAACAAAGTTTAGCTGCTTTCCTTTTGCAAATGCATTCAATTTTATCTGGAAACTTTTTGACGTTAGAAATAGAACAACTGTAGTTTCTCATTATGTTTGCTGCCAGAATCCATGCTTGGTTGCTCAACTAAAGACCTTACATTGCTAATTACTACCACATGCCCATATCCCAAGTGAAAGAAAACTTATTGATTCTGACAGCCCATTCTCTCAACACTGAATTCCAAATGAAAACTCAAATTTTGGCCAAACATAACATTTCATCAATCTTGTTCTACTGACTGGAAAAACAACATCAAACAAAGGGTGCTAATGGCCCTTTATTACCGTTCCTTTCCCAAGCTTATACTTTCTGATGAAAGATCTAAGTGACCAAAGGGCTTCTTTAAACTACTTAGTAATTAGCTTTTGAACCAGGAAACAATGCGCAAAGTAAAGTGAACAGCCCCGGTGTTGATGACAAGGTGGACTCTCAGTCCACAGGGCTGGGAGACACTGGAGACCCAAAGAGGACATTAAAAGCAAAGTGTATTTTCATAATAGGAGAAGGGCGAGAGAGGGGGGGTGGGAGGGAGGGAGGGAGGGAGGGAGGGAGAGAGAGAGAGAGAGAGAGAGAGAGAGAGAGGGAGGGAGGGAGGGAGGGAGAGAAACCAAGCTAAAAGGGGTGATAAAAGATTACAGAGCCAGAACCAAACTGCAGGAAGTCTGTGACCTAAGGTCATCAGCAAGTGGGGGTCTGGGGGGAACATCAAGGCAAAAAAGCTGACCAGATCAGACCACAGGCTGGTGAGCAAGCACAGGTCTCAGGGCCTCATCTGGGCCACCCAGCAACAAAAGCTGCCACCAGCCCACCCGCCTTGGACCAGGTACACTGTGGGGTTTTTTTTTTTTGGAAAAAATAAATAAAACTTCCACCTGTAGTCAGAGTCAAGAAATATTTTCTACACCTAAGCTTCAGAGCAATTGATTTTATTGGCGTCTTCAGGGGCAGTGATAAGGAAATGCTGGCAGAGACAGTGGGAGGGGGAGGCCATAAAAAGGGCCCCAGGTCCTCACAGTGCCTTCTGCTTTATTGCCATGGGGTCCATGTCTTAAAGGCAAACAGAATTGAGAGGCTGCTTTCCTCTTGGCATGGGATAAATGGCCAAGGGGAATCTCTGGACTTATTTGGCATTTTGGATCCAACTGATGGCCCAGAAATCAGAACAGCTTGGTTCTAACCTCGTCCAGGGCTGTTAAGATAATAGGGGGAGGAGGGACCCATTAGAAAGAAGATGGCGGGATGTCTGCCTCCATGGAGAAGTCGCCAACTGGCCTCCTTTCGCCCACTGTCCTTTGTGCCTTTGAAAGGAAACTGGTGTCCTGTGGGTACTTCAAGAAAATGAGCCCCTTTTTTGTCCACCTCCTCATTTTCTGAACGGAGTACTGGACACCTGAGCTCAGGATGTGTTGGAATCACCGACCAGAGAGAGGGGTCTGCTCCATCCTGCGTGGCTGACTGTCAAGATGGGAGGACACAACCATGGAGGGAAAAAACCGATGCTTCTGGCCAGACTTTATTTTTCTTAAAAGATCAAAATAAGCTAATAATTGAAAAATAGAGAAGAAAAACAAAAATACACACACAAAACAGTTCCATGCTAAGAACCTCCCTGAATGGAAATGGCCATGAGCCCTGATAATTTTTGGTATCTTGATCTAGATGCTGGAGCAGCGACTGGTGTGTACTGAGGCCCAAATTCCTCAAGCAGCGCATTAAAGATATGCACATTTTACTCCATGTAGGTCACGTATATAAATTAAAAACAAAACCAAGTGCCACCCAAAAATCTTTAAAAAAAAAATAAAGGAAGAATGGCTGCTGTGAGTTGAATCTCCCCTCAACAGTCTTCTCTAAGAAGATGCTCTGGTAGAAAACCAAGAAAATGAAGTCCTGTCACTTAGTAGAGTAAAACTTCTGGTGGATATTGGACCTGTACATTGACATGGATATTGGTAAGTGACCCAAGCACAAACTGAAATAGTTCCTAAGAGTCATCAGGAGTATCCAGTAATGCCCTGACACCATAATGTCATACCCACAAGGAGTCTCAAATGAGTAGTAAGATCTTTGAGGATGAGATGGGGTCTTCCTGACTGCAGAGGAGAACTGGTTTCCTGGTGGCCATAGGGCCTTTGCAGTAGGCAAGATAACCTGTATCTTGCGTCCCTGCCAGAGTTTCATCCCACATTATCGCTGCATTAACAAAAAATAATAAGATGGCATTGCCAAAGGGGCAGGAACCAGAATTGAATTACATAGCCAGTTCTTGTGACAAATACATGAGCTTGGACTCAGAACAGAAAATAAGACCCTGGTATATATGGTCCCCTTTCGTGATAAATCCACCATGCCTCTTGGCATCTCAGAACAGAAACAAGGCCTTGGGAGTCGACAGGAGCAAGAAGACACCTGCCTCGGGTAACCTGTGACGTCACACCCCTGCACCTTTCGGGCTTTCCCTCACTGAAGCACCAGGTCGGTTGGGAAGGGGCAGGATTCAAGGTCACCGCCCCAGGGACTCTGGAAAGTCACTCAACCACATCTTCTCTGATGTCACTGACTTACTTTCTGCCTCCATGTTTGTTAAAAGTCCCGCCGAATTTATTCCGATTCAGGATGAGAGCAGCAATTTCGGGCACGTAGCGGGCAAACATTGCCTACATGCATGAAACAAAGAACAAGAGCCAAAACAAAAAATGGCATGCAGAGAGGATTCTACCGCCGCGGAGCAGCAAAACCTCTTGGCGTACTTACTTTCTTCCACTAACCGCGCTATAGGAGCCCCCGTATTTCTTGCGGTTTCCTATTAACTCTATGATTTCAGGGACGTAGCTGGCAAACATGGCCTGAGGAGAAGAGGGGAGACAGAAGAGAGACTAAAAAGACAGGCCAGAGAAAGGGGGTGACCTCTTCGGGGGGGGGGGGGATACTGAGATCTGAAAACACAAAAGGGTTTGGCCTGAGAAAGTCTACTCACATGTTGTTGGGTCATAACAAAAAATAAAAGGACAAAAAAGGACAAGATCCTGAAAACACACAGGACTCAACAAACACAAGCCAACCTGCACAACTGGGACAAGGGGGAGGGAGCAAAAAAGACATCCCAGTCAAGAAAAGTACAAAGGAGACAGGAACAGACAAGCTGACAGCTAGCTCCTCTTCCTGAAAAAAAAGTAGGTAAAGGGAGATTCGARGCTGGAACTGAATTCACTCCCACGCGCATGCGCACACGCACAGACACGCAGGCGTTCTTGCAAGACCCTTCCTTTTTTTAATTAAAATTCAAAGGAGAATCAGTGCCCTGAAGAGTGATTAAATACAAGAAACACTAAAAGGTTTAAAAAGAATAAATTCTGTCATTCAAAACAAAGTCACTAAAAAAGGCAAAAAAAAAAAAAAAGGTAAATTTAGGGAATCACATGAGAGGAAAGGATAGCAAGGAGAAACACAAATCTGCCATGTTTTGTCCAACAAACATACCCCTGTGGCTGGATTAAGGGTGTCCTTATCTATGGGACCTTGGAGAGACTGCAGAAATGCCATGCTGATGTACAGACACACACACACACATTGGCATACATTTTTTAAAATGTGTATGCTCTATGCATACAGAGGTGTGTATGCATCACTTATATACATGTGTGTGCAGTGTACATACATGAAAGCTGCATGTGAAACAAGATTTGAATCACTCACCTCATATTTAGCAAAAGTTAAAACTTAAATCATTAAATTAAATCCACTTTGGAAAACAAATTGCAGCAATCATTAGTGTGTATCAAAGTGCTACCATAAGGAGGTGCTTTACTTCAGAACAGGAGATCATACAGTAAGACTTCCTGACTTAYGAATGGGAGGAAAACTATCCCAGGTGTTGCTGCAAGATAGAGCAGGTTATTGACAAAACTGTGCTCTAATTACTGATAATGTACCCATGACAAGACCAAGCACTCTCCCTTCTCTGATGTGAGTTCCCTTCTTTTTAGGGTAGGCACCAGCCACAGTGTTTGTTGGAAGTTCAGGAAGGAACATAAAGGGGGAAATGGAGCTCCTGAAACCGCAAACTCTCTACAGAGTCTCTACAGCATCTATCAGGGTCGGGTGACTGCAACTGTCCTTGCAGACTATCAGCTGTTGAATTCTATTCCTAAGGACAGGTGCACTCACTTATTAACAGCATCCCTTTCTTAAGACAATTTGATTTAGGTTTGCTCCTGGCTAAATGGCTATCCCTGACAAGGCAATGTGCCTGGGTCTGTGGACCAAGCAAAACATACCAAAAAAATTTACAGAGACGTCATCTTGGTGTTTGGATTAAATCTAAAATCCATTCTGATTATAACACTAAGGCAGTCACTTGGTTCTAACTCAGAAACACAGTATAAAAATACAAAGCCTTAAGGAAGTAGATAATAGAAAATATTAATGACCATAAAAATCAACATCATAATAAAGAGTTTTTACCAGTCCCCCGAGGATGAAGAAGACCATGAAGAGGCGCCCAAGCGTGGTTTTTGCATAAACATCCCCATAACCAACAGTGGACATTGTGACCATGAGTAAGTAGACACATTCCCAGTATGTAAGAGCCTGGTTGTTTTGGAAATTTTCCCATGGGTCCCCTGAATTCTCCACCTGAAGTAAAGGGAAAAGGGAGAAAAAATAAAAACATCACACACACACACACACACACACACACACACACACACACAGTATATACAATGAACCAGGAAGTCCAAAGCTCTGGCAGGCTGCTGGCTGAAGCTCACTGCCCTCAACAAAGATGTTTGCTTCCCTTGCTGAACTATGTATGTGAGGGCTCAGAACCCTGAGCAGATAGCAGAGAAGACTAGGTGAAGCAATGGAAGATCCCTCCTGTCTGACGAGGGCAGAGAGAAACAGAAACAGAAATAGGCAAAAACATCCTCAGTCCATTTTTCTTCTCATTGCTAAAGGTTTGAAGCCAACTGAAATGGGGCATTGCCTCTGGCCCTGTCATACAGTGCTCTTTTCAAGGGAAGAGCCAGAGAGCCTTTTCCTGACCTTTCCTTGCTAAGCCTCCAAGGACCTGGCTCTCGCTTCCCTGCAGACATAGTAGACCCTCCACAGAGGACGCCTCATTTCATCGATATGGCCAAGGATATGCCCTGTGGATCCCACTCCTTCAGATCTTCTGCTGGGACCCCAAACAGCATCTCTGGACTCTGATCCTACCTCCTTTGTAAAATGTCAACAGTGGTTCTGCCCTTAAGGCTGCAGGAACTTCCTGAGGAGCACCAAGACTGAACTCATGGGAACAATTTGCATTTGCACAACTCTTTTGACCAAGGGCCTGCAAACTCTTTCTGTCAAGGGCCAGAGAGTAAGTACTTTCAGCTTTGTGGACCATAGGGTTTCTGATCTCCTCACAAATTGTTGTTTGGGAGACCAGCAGAGGGCTATACTTCACTGAACAGGTGAAGCAGGATTGCTTTAGACTTGACAAGGCACTTTCCAGTCCTCCTATCACATCTGATGGGACAATAAGGCTGTGAGGTGGCCTAGAGAGGTACTTTAGGTACTCCCAGGAGGRAGGGAGCCAGGATAAGGCCATTTCTACTCAGATACCAACTCTGCATTACTAAGAACCAGGCATTGAGATAAGCAGCACTCCCCTCCCCCAGCAAGGCCTCCAGTTCCATCTCTACAAAATGTTCCCAAGACCTAGCTTCCTCCATACATCAAAAATTCTCCTCTACATGCCATTTTCATGATGTTGCCTGGTAAACCAGAAAGCATTGCATGTAACACGTAATAGTAACAAGGAGTCACTGACTTCTTAAAGACAACTCCTTCTTCYACATCTGTGATTTTGGCACTTGGTTACAACAAGAATTAGAGTAATGAAGGGTGAGACTGGCCAAGGGTCCCATCACCACAGAGGGCTGGTGAGCCTCCTGAGATCTGGTGACTGCCAGCTGCCCCCACTTCCATCCCAGCTTCCTTTGCCTGGTAATTACAGGTCCCAAGTGGTGGATAACCAGATTCATCCTCAGATTCCTTGGGCAAATGAGCAAATGAGGCTCCTGGAAGGAAGGTCGCCTCTAGTCAACGTTTCACAGTTTGATGAGGCTCCTTCATGTTTGTCTGAAATGTGCTTCCAACAATAGCCATGCTCTCTAAAAAAGGGGGTGGTGGTGGCTTGTCTTGGGAAGGTGAGAAGAGCTTGACTTAATAATAGGAGGTTTTCAAAGAGCCATTAATATAAAAGAATTAACATTTTTGAGGTACAAAATAACTTGACAAGTAATCAAGCAAAAGAATCAAAAGGCAGCCTTTTGTAAGGGGAAAGTGGAGAGAAATTGAGGGATATGAATTTGTTGTTTATAAAGAGATGTGGGTCAAACTTCCAACCTCGTCCCCAGACCTTTTCTGGGCGTTTGTTGTGGAAGCACTGCCATCTTGTGGCCTTCTGGGGTTATTGCAGAGAGAATGAAAATCTAGGAAAGTCCCCGCTGCAGTATTGGTGGGCTGAAAATGCAGGTTAATAGTGTGAACATCACTCACCATTTGGAACTAGTTTAGGGTAAACAGGTTGGAAACCCAGTCAATTGTGCGGTTGCTTCCTCCTTTTCTGTCTATAACTGAGCTGAAGTTTCCCTTCAGCGAAAGAAAATTCCAGGTCATAAAATGACTCCACGAGGGGCTTATTCCGGGCCAGCCAGAGCTGAAGGGCCTTCAAGGACACTTACCAAATGGATGAAGCCAGCTGCAGTCAACCACGTGCTGATAAATATGGAGAGCAGATTCACCAGCTTGATGGAATTACTGTGTAAGAGACAACAAGCAAAGCGCCCAGGTTAGAGGGAAGACCCAGCTGGAGCCACCTGCCAGCGAGACAGCGCCCCCTATGTGCGGAGCAGGCTGTCTCTACTGGAAGGGAATTCATTCCTGGCAGGTGGCACACACAGGGGCAGGTGTGAGGGTCACAACAGGGCCTGTAGGGAAGATAACACCTGGACTACTCAGAAGGGTCTCAGAATGAACCCCCTTGAATTTCGCATTTTAAAAATTAACCTTTGTTTTGAAAACTCTTCAAAAACTCAGGGAAATGCCAAGTGTGTAATAAATACCCATATGCCTTTCACGTAAACTGATCTATTATTAACATTTGGCACATCTGTTTTATCTCCACATGTTCTTTTTCTCTTTTCCTTTTCTTCTTTCATTATATATATATATATATATATATATATATATATATATATTTATATTTATATATATGACTAAACCATTTACACACAAGTTGTAGACATCAAAACACAACATGACCTTTAAATGTCTGAGCACTCACCCCATAAGAACCAAGACATTGTGCAATGTAATCACAATACCATTGTCACACTTCAAAGAATTAACATCAATTCAGTGACATAATCTCACATGCTGTCCCTATTTAAATGTCTCCACAGTGGTCCTGGAATTGTTTATTGATGTTCTCATCTCCCCCACCCTAATCCAGGAACTCATTGAGGGTCATACTCTGCAGATGCCTATTGTATGGCTTTAATCCAGGGGTCAGGAAACTTTTCTGTATAGGGACAGATAGTTAATATTTTAGGCATTGCAGGCCTCAGAATCTAGGTTGAAACTACTCAATTCTGCAGCTGTAATTCAAAAGTAGCTGTAGACAATATGTAACATAATGGGTGTGTCTGTGTTCCAATAAAACCTTAATTACAAGAACAGGCATTAGGCTGGACGAACCCATGAATGATACTTTGCCAATCCCTTCTTTAGACTCTTTTAATCTACAAGTAGCACTCCCCTGTCCTTTGAAAATTGTTTTTTAGTGACATTTAATTTTGTGTAAACCAGGCTGTCTTACAAAATGCTYTACATTCCAGATTTACCTGTTTCTCCATGATTAGATGGTATTTAAATATTTCTGTTAAGAATTTCTGCTGGAATGGCCTCACATCAGGAAATCCCAATTTGATGATGACCTAGGTCCCCTCAGGATGAGGTGGGGAGGGTAGATGGCTCCCCTGAAGGTTACCACTTCCCTTTGTGCTCAATACACCACCTTGGGGTAAGACTGAGACCATATGAACAGCCTATCTCCCAACTACCTGATGACTAACAGTTTTTGCATCCACCGGTGTTCCTTGAATGGATCAACTGGAACTCACTAAATTTTAAGCTCCATGAGAAAAGGAGACTTGTCTCTCTGGATCCCAGGGACAGTGGGTAGACTGACCATGAATATGTCCTGAGTGAACTGGTCTCTTCCTCTGTACCCTTCCACTAATCTCACCCCAACAGGGGACAGATCCTTGAGTGCTGCTCTCAGCAAGCCAATTCCTGTCTCAAGGCTTTCCATTGACATGGACTGACAAGTGATGCCAAACTCTGCCCTTCTGTTATCAACACCCTGTGAAGTCCCAGACTCTCCTACCTCCCCTCCTTGTGGACTTTGAAGCTGTCTTCACAGTCTGTGTATCATAGCTATGCTGGTGCTCTCACTCAGCCAGAGTGTCTTCCCATCTGTCTATACAGGTCCTATCAGAGACATTTATCAGGAACTGAGTGGGAGAGAGTCTTTCTCCATTTCAGATTTGGGGGTAAAGAATATAAGCCTGAAGCTCTAGTAGACCCTGTGCCCTGGAGAAAGTCTACCTGAGAATAAAATCCCAAACAGATGGAGAAAGAGTCAGAATCCCAAGGACACAAATCTGAACCCCTGGGTGCAGACTTGCCTGGAGTGAGTCAGCTCCCTCTTGGATTCTGTTACTTGCAATCAAAACCCATCTCCCTGAAATAGAAGTGCTGTTGTATTCAGGATGCTTCCTGAGAACATAACGGTTGATGGGTTTCCAAAGGTGGTATGGGGCTATCTCCACATGAGACATCCATATGAGACATCTCCTGTGACACCCACATTGTCACCTGACCCTGCAATTAGCTCTGGTAGAAGGCTGGCACTTCCAAAGGCAAGCAAATCCTGACCTTCAACCCTTCAATTCTTATTCCAGCCACCATGGGTCATGCTACTCCCCCACCCTGCCACATACACACACCTAAGCAGTGTCTGTAGCTATGAATGGGGTCACCAGCTAACAGATATAGTGCTTAATGCCTTCCATCTCCATCTCCCCTAGAGCTGAGAGATAATGTAACTCTTGCCTTTCTGCTTCTGAGAACAATTGGCCAGACCAAGAGGCCTCCTCACTGGCTTCTGAAGTCCTTTTGTGGAAGGACACCCCTGTCAACCAGAGATAGGCAGGGTGGCAACAAGACAAACAGATCTAAGGGACTCACCTAGTGAGTCCTATCAGGGGAAGCAAGCCTGCCCAGGAAGGAGCCAGGTAAACCTGCTTGGGCTGCATCAATACCACATTGGTGTTCTCAACTAGTTTCTCCATGCTCAGCCAAAGCAGAGCAGAACACTCCCCTGCCCCTAACCCATAAGCCTTCTAAGGTGTACCCCAACATTAAAGAGTAAGAAACAGATGAAGAACCGGTAGCCAGTGGTCCTAGGGAGGTCTGCACTGCTGTCTGCTCTGGGGATAGTTAAAACACCAAGTTGGGTCACTTACACCCTCCCAAATCCTCAGCATCCAAGCAAACAGTGTGTGCTCAACGACCATGCACTGTCCTTTCAAAATATTATCTCTATTGCCATCTCTGAGTCTCTCAGTGCTTTGGAAAAATGACCTAAATATGGTGATTATTAATCTCTAAATGATTGTCACAGTGTTATTAATGGTACTTAAGGAAGTTCTTGCTGTGTGTAGAACATTTAATCAGTGCTGCTGAAAGAGTTCATGTTCGGCACTGAAATCTGATTACTTTTATGACATCAGCATCATCACAGATCCCCAGTATCTGGAATTTGCTTTCCAAATTAAATTCTACAACCAAGCAATCTTCTAAAAGCTGTGTGCAAAAGATGCAAGATTAAGCCTGAGTGGACCTTCTCCATTCTCTGAGATGGGTCCCTGGACAGCTTGAGTAGGTCTCCTCAGAAGGAGGAAGGGGTTTCCAGGAGAAGGATTGCATGCTCCTGTGGCAGAAGGAGCGGCATCATAGCCTTATGGCCAAGCCCAAGGGTCTGGACAAACATGAAGTGACCAATGGTTGGAATGCATAGAACATTTCAGATTCCAGTCTCTATCCTATGCCTTGAAGGAAGGAGAGACTGTGATCCTATCATGAAAATCTGACCAATCAAAAGAAAATCATTCTTGTGCTTCCATTATGATTTCTAAGTCTGCATCCCATGAACTTTCACTGGCCATCCGATTAATTCACATTAACAGACACAGAAAATCATCATCAAGCAGGCCCAGGAATCTGGTACCTCAGAGACCTTTTCCAAGATTCCAGGGATGCAGGGAGAGAAAGCCTGACTCTTGATACTGTAGATGTAAACCCAGGGATGCCCAGGGCCATCATTTCCCTCCATGAACTTAATAAGCCATGCCAGGGTTGACACTGAAAAGATCATCCAGCTTTCACAAGGAAGCACAAATTTGTGCTTGTTGCCCAATTTCTCCATTTTTTTCTGGCTGAGGGTACAGCCAGGTGCCAGTAGCTTTATTTTGTTTGACTATTATCTTTGCTGGATAAATGTAAAATATCCCAACTGTGAAAAGTCAACTGGACTGGGCCACACAGAGATGGAGGATTTGAGCTATAAGACATGGAGTGAAGTGAAATCAAATCCTGTCAATTCTACCTCTCTGTCATCTATAGGTCCCCTCTCACCATCTAAGGCCATGCCCTGGTACCTATTTCCTGGACTACTGTCCCTGTCTCGTCTCATAGTCTACAAGGTCTTAGACACTTCAAAGCTACTCTCTCAACAACTTGTGAAATAGTGGGTCTTTCTAGAAGGTAAGTCTGACTACATTTCCTCTCCTGATTAAAATCCTTTAACAGTCTATCCTGCTCTCAGCACAATCCATGAGTCCAAAATTTGGCCTTTATTTCACTCCTTCCAGTCTCTATGTCCAATATTTTTATTAAACTTTGCCCTGGGGCCATTTCTCAGGTCATACTACGTGGAGTAAAGTTTTAATTCCCAAAATTCCCTTTCAAAATGTTTTGGTTAGGTACATGATGATATGTGTATATGGGAAATAAAAGTAACAAGGTAGAGAACAATGGTTACCTCAATGTGGCCTGCTGTAGGGACAGCTTTACTTTAGCCAATGAGGATATAATAAAGCAATTTTCATTTTGAAAAAGAAAACAAAAAGATCTTTAGGTGATGCACGTTCCAATCATCACTATCTTCCACATTCAGTGTGGCACGGACCTCTGGCCCTGAGGCAGAGCTGTTTCCTTTGCTCTGACTGTAGAATAAGTGGCCCAGCACCTGTAAGCTGGCTTACCAGTGCAGGGTGGCTAAGGACCTTCCAAAGGTTAAGACAATGACAGAATCTCCCAGTCTGCCTTGAACAGGCCATTTTTCAGGATATGGACTATTTTCATTGCCTTGCAGTTTGAAGAACTGCCCCRATGCTGGTCACACATATAGGACTTGCCTCTGTCAACCTGTTTACTCCCATTGCCTCTCTGCTGTCCCTTTAATTCTTTATCACTCCCCCCTCCCCCCTATACTTCTTTGCCCTGTTTCTTCCAGCTTTTAGCTGAATGAGACAGCTCAAGAACAGAAAATGAAACAGTAGTTTCAGATCATTATTTCAAATCACATTTCCAAAGTCTTCATCCTCGTCTAATAGCAAGATTGGCAGGGATTCGCAGCCAGAGAAAGCCGACACAATCTCCCTAAAGTTCATTCTGTAGCTCCATCCCATCTCCTGCAAGGTCACTGTGAAAGCAGTCCTTGAGAACAAAGAGAGGAGAATCTCTCACAGGCCAAAGCCCTCCAAAAGTCAGGGTTTCTCCTTCTCTGCAGCCAGAGCTCTGGGATCTGGGCTCAGGGTGCACAGAAGGAAGGTAGGGGGACAGCTGGAGAGCTTGGGCTGAGGGCTGTCCTGAAACTTCTGGAGTTCTCACAACTTGGTGGAGTTTTCATCTGTGCCTGGTGATCAGCCTTGGCCAGCCAAACTCATCCTCCTTTATCCACCCCAGAACCCAGTGTTCAGGAGCACAGAACTGCCCCAAGGTCCATTCATGCCATGCAGTTCACCTGTGTGCTCTGCACAGCTTCCCCATGGGAAGTCACCCCACCCTCTACTCAATCCCAGTCCCACTGGAATGACAGACACCTGGTTTTCTCCCAGGTTTACCCTAGACACCCCCTTCTTCTCCTTGCCCCTTCCACCCCCCGCCTCATGCCAAGCTTGGCTCTATTCCTCTCCGGGCACCTTCCAGCAGCTCCACCAGGCAGGCTCTGGGCTCCCTCCCTCAGTGAGTCGGCTGCCAGTGGGACTCGATCCTACCTCTCACCTTGCTATTGACACACAAGGAAGCTCACTCCCGGCCTGCTGGATTCTCTCAGTCTCCCAGATGTGATTATCAACAATGGGAACACACAACATCTAAATTGTGTGGTTGTGATGAAAAGCACCTTCTAACAATAGGAGAGATTACTTCAGGGGGATGTGGGGTGCTGGGGAAATGCTGTCTGGGAGCCAGGATGGCAGATGCCCAACCTGCCTGCCACTCTCTCCCAGCATACAGTACAACCCTTCCCCTAGCTGGCTGCTCCCAATGTGTCCCTTCTGCATTGAGAAAATAAAGTGTTCCCTGCTATACAGTTACCACGTTTACCACACGGACTGTTGTCCAGGGCTATAGAGCTCTTCCTGCCTCCAAGGAAAGGAGTCTTTGCCAAAGAATGGAAAGTAATAAATGCCCTAGCAAAGGATCAGAAAAAGATATTCAGAGGGTCCGTCATTCCCCACAATCCAAAAAGGATGCACAGAGTATGTGAGAAGTGTGAGAACACAGTTCTCTCCATGTTGTTCCTCAGAGTTCTGGAACCTTCTTAAAATACTGGTGTCGGATAATTTTTTTAAAAATCCCCCTTATTTAACAGGTAAATGTGAAAGAAGAAGAGACCCTATGCTAGAGAATGAATGATACCATATAATTTCATTCCTACTAAAAAAGGATAACTTCATCTCTACTACAAAAAGAAAGAAAGAGAGAGAGAGAGACAGAGACAGAGACAGTGAGAGAGAAAGAAAATGGCTCTAAGGACAGGACTCCCTGTGCTTGATACTGGATACTCACTGATGATTCTACCTTTAAAACTACAAACTGGTGGAAATGTTAGTCATACCAATGCTGCTAACTGTGTTGGTCATTTAGATTTGAAGAGCACTATGAGTCTATTGCATAGAAAAGCCATAAAAAGATAGAAATCGAGGCCATTGTCGCTCAGAGGAAAATAAAAAGGATAACAATATTCACTATTTCTGAATAATATTACCCACTAATAGAGACCCAATAGATTCTTACCTCAGGATAATGAAGTGTAAAGGGGAATGAGGTGCACTTTCAAAGACCTCAAGGGCATTTGATACTCTTTTTCCTTCTTGACTTGGCTAATAGAAAATGAACTTTACACACAGTCACACAGATGGATAGTTTTTGTTTTGAACTTAAACACAATAAACAAACAAAAACCCCCAACACCCAAAGAAGAAAGTCATCAGTCGGCTGAAACCATTGACTTATCAGATTCAGGACACTGTGTCCCAGCCTCCCCACCTGAGGAAACGAAGCCAAAGCCAGCCCCCAGGAAGGCAGGGGGTGTTCATTATAAATCACTCAATGCAGAGGCGTCCTGTTTCTGATCATGTATCAAACACAATAAGGCCAACCAAAGAGAAAGGGCACATTAAAAGGGAGCGTCTCAGAGTGTAATTTCCTAGAAGAGAAATTGATGAGCTGCACTTATTCTCCATTAGAGTGCGTCTCACTGCTTTTATTAGTTTATTCATCAACACAGCCATGGGCCCAGGCCAGCTCTGTGGGCCCGCAGGTCATCAGGCAAGGGATCCCGGGGGGGTTCCCACTCCTGGTCCACTTGCACTTTCCAGATCATAACAAAGTCAGCAGAAGCAGTAGTCGTGATGCATTGGGCTGCAGGTTTTTAGGGTTTCCCCAAAAGGCAATTCACAGAGTAAGCCCCCAGGGCTCTATAGATATAAAGTGAACATCTTAAATGTACTTAGAAATCAAATGATTTTCTGTTTGCTGTATGAGGTTGGTGATTGCCTCTCAAAGAGCATTGCTTCTCTTGCCTTTACGGCCAAGTTCAATTTCTTGTTTAGTGGAGTAATAAAGGGGCGATTTAGGACCTGGCAGCAAGGACAACCCAAGCAATGAGCAAATCCATCCCTCATCTGCTGCGTACCTCTCTCCGTGATGCCACAGCTCACCTCTGAGCAACTCCACTTGGCACCCCAATGTCAGTAATGTCCCCCTAAACTGTCCCTGCTTCCCCAAATTCACAGCTGTGGCCTCTCTTTTTACCATACAGTCCTCTGGCCCTGCAGAAGAGGGCAACCCAAGCCCTACTGGAGGGCTTCTCTCCATCTCTGCATCAGGTCACTCTTCCTATGAGTAACATAACTCTTTACTGTGGTGGAAACAAACACTGCTGATATCTACCAGTTGGCACAGGGGGCTGGAATGGGGTAAAAATGCAAGTAAAAAACATCTTACCTTGTTTTAAGGATATTCAGAAACTGCAGAATTTCTGAAAACTGTATCAGTCTGAGAGCTCTTAAAAATCTCAAACCTGGAAAGAAAGAGAGGGGCATTATTATTAAAGCATGGATTTTACGTCCACAGTCTGCTGTTGGAGTTGAGCTGTCCAGGGCTGAAGGGACATGAAGTCCTTGCAGAAGAAAAAGAAGGCAGTACCTTGTTGCTTCATTCTGATGTCTGGCTGGTTTAATCCCGTTTGGTAAACTGACTTTGCTTTAAAGGTGACCTGTTTTGAACCATGTAAAGGTAAGGCCCCAGGGTTGAGGGGGCTCCCTTCTCCTTGACAAGCTCCAATGTAAAGCACTGCTTCTAAGTTCCCTGCTGGTCTGTCAGGAGTTTGTCTCGGAAAAATACTGGGAATTGAGATCATTCACAGTCATCCTTGTGCTAAAAGCAGATTAAGAATAAATCGGATAACCTTATGTTTTTGATGGATTTCTTTTTTTTTTTTTTGTACCAGGGATTAAAACCAGGCATGCTTAACCACTGAGCAACATCCCCAGTCATTTTTTATGTTTTATTTAAACACAGGGTTTCACTAAATTGCTTAGGGCCTCATTAAATTGCTGAGGCTGGTTTTGAATTCCTAATCTTCCTGCCTCAGCCTCCAGAGCTATTAGAATTTCTTTATTTTCAGTCCCACCAAAAATATAGTCCACAGTGCTTTCTGTTTTCTTTCTGTTATACTTTTTTCCCAATCAAAAAGAAAAAAAAATCATTAAGATATCATATCCTACAACTGTGGGATAAATAATTCCATTTTCACTAACATCAGGATGAATGTCTGTTCTTTCTAAATTCACCATCTCTCTTGAACGGAAGAGTTCAAGTTTCTAGGCAGCAAAAGAAAGAGAAGGAAAATAGAATCAAGGAGTTTTTTTTAAAGTATCATTGCATTTTAATACTAAAAAGTAAACTATTTCTATTGAAGTCAAATTCATGAGTCAAAAACATCCTAAGTTGGTCATGGGGTTTGATGCCTTGACATCCCCCATACAAAAAAAATTATTCACAAAAGTCCAACTTTCACAGCTTTATGACACACTAAATATCACACCCAGTTCCAAGGGAATTTCCTTTTGCATATTTTTGAAAGCATTTTATACAGGGTCCCCCCATTGCCAAAGTGGTGCCAAGTGTAACTGGACTGAATTGGCAGATAGCTGCAACCTGGGGTTGGGGGAAGACTATTCTAGTCCCTCTGCAGACAGTAAAGGAGAGTCCAATGTGCTTGGTGGGAGAAAGCAGTGGGGTCTCCAGAGATCTTGGTTACCTCCTGCTTAAAAAAAAGGAGTGGCTAACTGGCCCAGAGTGGAAGTTCTGGTAATGATAAAAAATTAATTTCAAGCCATGGCAGATGTTAGGAGGTGGGGTGGGGAGGATCAAACCCATGGAGGTTTAAAAAGGGAGAAGATGCAAAAGTGCATGCCTTTAATCCCAGTGGCTCTGGAGGCTGGGACAGGAGGATCATGAGTTCAAAGCCAACCTCAACAACAATAAGGCACTAAGCAACTCAGTGAGACCCTGTGTCTAAATAAAATACAAAACAGGGCTGGAGATGTGGCTCAGTGGCCAAGTGCCCCTGAGTTCAATCCCTAGTACCCGCCAAAAAAAAAAAAAAAAATGTGGGGGAAAAAAGCACCTAAATTTTTTTTTTTAAGTGATGGTATTTATATCCTATACTATTTGCTTGTTTGACATATTCTACTGACTTACAAAAGTGTTATATGATATAAGCTTTTCTTTAACTCAGGTGTATGAAAATGAGGCTAGAAATGCTGTGAATGTAGTGGCCACAGGTCCAGGTCCATAACCTTGGAGAGGGAACCCAATGATCCAGCTCTGAGCATCTTAACAGAAGCAAGCAGGGAGCAGGCATCAGCCTGGTAGTGTCTGTGTAAACAGGAAACAGACTGGTCCTCAGGACAACAGCTTGTCCAGCACAGAGACCAGAGGGCAACGTCTCCCTGCAAAGGGGATCATCTCCCTGCAAAGGGGACCCAGGACAGTATAGGAGGAAGATTCTTGGGAACTGAACAGTGGTGGGCTTTGACTGCCTTGTACAGATCATTTTCATGGTGTTTGATTTAACTAATGCAAATGAGGAAAGGTCCTACATGGGCAAAAAACATCAGTTGACGTTTTAGCCTCAGATCTTGGTCTGTGGTTCGAATCCTCAGGCAGTAGTATACAGCAGCTTCTTCCTACTGGCCCCTTGGAGGTCTTAGTTTAGAATTCTCCAATGCCCCCATTCATACAGGACAAAAGGCAAAGGCCTTCAAAGACCAAAAGTGACACCACAACCCTCCCCTACTAAACACAGCATCTCCTTTTGGATCTGATGGTCTCCTACCAGGACTACTACTAGTTTTCTCCTGGTCTGGCTGTCCWCCGTGAGCCCTGTATCCAGGCATATTCCTGCCCTAGGGCCTTTGCACATTCTGTCCTCCCTGCCTGGAGTACTCTTCTCTAGAACTCCACATGGTACACTCCTCCAGGTTTTTACTTATGTCACCTTTGTTCAGTTGGACCTTCCTGCCCACCATACCTAAGACTACATTTCCTCTCACATCATCCCTGAAACTATTCTTTTTGCCTGGTTTTCTTCTCCCCTGCATGATGCACTAACATCTAATTTACTTGCCATCTCATCTACACATCAGCTTTCCTCAGGGAKGGACCAATGTCTATTTAACTCATGGTTATATTTCCAGGACACCTGAAACAGTGTCTGGCTTCAGTTAGTGCTCCGTAAATACTTGTGCACTCCATGAATGAATCAGAGTTTTGAGAAGGAATGATGTGGCAGAGAGTAAAGGGGACATAATCTGCATTCAGAATTCTGAGACCACAAGCTGCTTGCTCAAGGGGAAAGCCATAAACTCCACAGGGTTTCAACCCCTCAAGAGGCCAGGGCTGACCTCACCAGCAGCGGGGAGCTTTAACCAGTGGCCTGCTGCACCCAGAGAGGCCCAGGGATGTCYAGACAGCAACTCCCAGTTACACAGAGGCCAGTGGGGAAGGAAACTCCTAAGGGACAAACTATTCATTTTCTCTGCTTTATAAAACTTTTTCTTGTTGTTCATTCCATAAAATCTCTGAAATAGAATGATTTTCTAGGGGAACATAAAATTATAACAGAGTTGTGAAGAAAAAAAATGTATATGTACCAAAAGCCACAAATTATCCTCACCTCCCAGAAGGTAGAGGGCCCAGATGTTTTATGATGTTTTTTACACTATCAAGAAATAGGCCGGGTCAGGTGGCACACTCCTGTAATCCTGGTGGCTCGTGAGGTTGAGACAGGAGGATCTCAACTTCAAAGCCAGCCTCAGCAAAAAGCAAGGCATTAAACAACTCAGTGAGATCCTGTCTCAACCTCAAGGACTTGGAATGTGACTCAGTGGTTGAATGCCCCTGAGTTCAATCCCTGGTACCCCCGCCCCCACAAAAGAGTCAATATATATATATATATGCAGTATTATATGATACAGTAATAAAAACCAGACTTTTCTCTCTTTTCCTATGCTCTGTATTGGTTTAGAAAATTGGTATTACCTGGACACAGGTACGGCAGGATCACCACACTAGTGACTAAGGACAATGATGGTAAATAAAGTTCTAGCATGTCAAGTCCAGGACGGCATTCAATAAATCATACACACAAGCCATGCAGGGCATTATGGGGCACAGCCCAGATCTTCAATTCGGGGGATTTGATTGTCCCAGGCTCCTGAACAGTGGCCTGCTGAGGGCTCACCTGTCCCTCTATGGGCATCATCCTCTGCTCCAAGGAGCTATCTTGCTCATTGCCACTTGCCTCCCTTGAGGATCAAAAGTCTTCCATGATGTGGGGAAAAGGGTTTGCTGCTGTATCTGAATTTGAGATGATGCTGCAAGGTTATCCAGCCACAGAACTCCCTGTAGTGTAGGCTGAGGTTCAGCAGACCTGGCCCCGGTCTGAGTTCTCCACCCAGCCTTTATAGTACCCTAATTCCAAGACAGGCACTGGCTATAAAACCTACCCCAAGATCTATATACCAGAAGTCAAAGCATTCTGATGCTCTTTTGGGCACACTGTAGGTTCTTAAATTACAATTTCATCATATGAAACTACAGAATTGAAACACCACAGAACTGTACACAATTTCATAGAAAAGCTTTCTAATAAACTAGAAAGCTCAGGAAGACGCACACATGTACACAGGTGGAGAACAATGACTTGAACTATGGTTTCTGATTGCACTGGGAACACATTTGGGGTAAAACCTGGCTCTGTTGGTTGCATTAGCACTGGGAACTTGCTGTGCAAACATGCAGGTCAAGATGGCCCAGTTGCTATGGTGATGCTCAGACTGGGAAGGCTCTGTGCAAAGGCTCAGAGCTATATCAGTCTGGACCTTGAGCTCAGACACCAGCTCCTGGGTACAGAATTCTGAGCATAACAAGATAACCCTAATGTTTTGCTAGTCCTGTGCCCTTCAGATTGTCTGCTTTGCTGAAAATTTTCCAAAAGTAACCTCTAGATGATAAAACCTATATAATAAAAGTGCTGAGCTAGCTCTGGGTCACTGATCCTCCATCAGAGGTTAGTGTCCTACCTGGCCCCAGTTTCCTCTCTTTGTGTGTTTGTCTTTTCTAAATCCCCCATTGCTCCTTGCTAGTTTCTGAATTAGCAGCCATTAGGATACAGCCTACACACACACACATGTGCACACTTGGTATAATGAACTCTTGCTATTTTAAGTTATTGTGAAATTAGGATGCTGACCGTGATTTAAATTTATTATTATTGTTGATCTTCATTATTTTAAATTACTTATTATATGACAAAAACTTTATCTTTTTTAATCCTTACAACAGAAGAAAACAGCTAAGAGTAAATAGTAGGAAGTGTGTACAGCTCACAGTTTATAAGCAACAGAACCAGGTTTTACCCCAAATGTGTTGAAGTCAGCAAAGCCCAAACTTGTAACCACTGCTTTATGCAGACCTTGGGCAGTTTGTTGCAGTTCCAAACACTGGAATCAA